AAAAAAAAAGATTACAGTGAGCGTGACCAAGGCCAAGCCCCTGAGCAGTGCCGGTCATGGCCACATCTCCGCCCCAACTCCCAGGCAGGTGTGAGCCCCGGAAGCCTTGCCGCAGAGCTGTCCCCACCCAGGTCCTCCGCTAGGGGGCGCCCACACTGAAGGCGCAGGGTGAGGCGCCTGCCCACATCCAAAGGCTTTGGGCTCCGGGCTGTGCATGCCTATCATCTCAGCACTCAGGAGCCTGAGGCAGGAGGATTGTGGTGCGTTTGAGACCACCCTGGGCTACACAGAACTATGCTGTTCTCAGCTGCGTTTTGTCTGCATCCCCATTAGGGATTTTGATTGGTGGATTGGTTTGTTGAGCCAGGGTCTTGCTATGTCGTTCTGACTGGTTCCACACTGACCTCATACTCATGGTGATCTTCCTGCCTCAGCCTCCTGAGGTCTGGGATTATAGGCATATGCCACTGTGCCTGATGGGGCAGGGGTGTTTCCCTGTTCCTTTTCTGTGACGCCTGCTGTTCTTGGCCTACAGTGGACCCATGGAAAGCAGATGTTGAATGAATGGATGAATGAAACCTGGGATTAAGTGAGCACTTGGCAAAAAACTCCCCAAAGTAGTTGGATGTGCTTTGGGGCTGGACAGGCTGCCAACTCCGGACTGAGTTCGAGGGCTGGGGTGCCCAGCAGGGCAGGGCCCACTGCCCAGGAGTTACAGTATCTCTCAGATGCCTACTGTGTGCCTGGAACTGAATCAGGCCTTTCTCAACTATTTCAGCCTCGAGAGCTGGTGACCAGTTGCTGTGACCCTCTCACATTTTATTTATTTATTTAGTTATTCAAGGAACTGGGGATTGAACTCGGGCCCTTGCACTTGCCAGGGAAGTGCTTATTCCACTGAGCCATCTCCCCGGCCCCTCCTCACTCCCATTTTAGAGGCAAAGAAACAGGCTCAGTGAGGCCTGCCACCCTGCCCAGTGTCACATGGCAAAGCGAGTCACTGGGCAACCACCACAGGCAGAATCCCTTCTGCCGTTCACCGCCTTCTTGCAACTCAAGTAGTTAGGTGGTGTTTGGAAGGCGCTCCAAGTCTGTCCTATGCTGCAGGAGCTGTGCTGTCAAGATTTCTCTGTCAGGGCCAGTGGTGGCAGAGTGTGCGTGCCAGCCCTGTGGTCCAGGGTAGAGGTGGTGTGCAGGGAGCCACTGCACTGTGTCCCGGGGCAGTGGAGTTTGGCTGTGGCTGCATCATTGTGCTGAGCCTTTCTTCCATCTGTAAGATCCTGACCAGGTCTCTGCTAGGCGAGGAAGGTGATGGTCGCTTCCCAGCATTCCTTGGACATGGGGAAATCCAGTACAGACCCAGGTGCCAGAGGTCAGGCTATGGGGTCACCTTGACCTCAGGCCACTCTTGGGGCCTTGGGTGCTGCATGTAGGGGACAGAAGGATAGCTACCCAGGCCTCTACACCAGCCTGAGTGGCTCCAATGTGGCCTGGTACAGCATGGGCCCATGTGCTTCTGTGGACGCAGACGTGTCATGCACATTGACATCACACAAGGCCACCAGCCACCAGGAGGGGTCAAGACAAAAACCAGACCACTCCATCTGAACCCGTGTGAAGCATGAAATGTGTCCAAAAGTCAAAAATGCCCAGAAGCACCCCCCGCATCAGAGGGCTAACCTAACAGCTGCTTCTTTGCCTCCTATGGGGCAAGAGGTTTTTTTGAGACAGTCTCACTGTGTAGTTTATGCTGGCCCTGAACTCACTTTGTACTCCCCAGGCTGAAGCAATCCTCCTGCCTCAGCCTCCCAAGTGCTGGGATGACAGGTGTGTGCCACCACACTCAGCCAAGATGCTTTAAGAGACTGGGTCATAGAACGACTTCTGTAAATGCCACCCCAGATACCTGACAGGCACAACCTGGCACGTCCTTCCTGATGTCCTCTTTCTGGGCCTCTGTGCCCTCACTCCACCTCTGTTCCTACCTGGCAGGGGGGCTTGGGGTGGTACCGCTCCAAGATGCTTTAAATCTACACATGGCCTCCACCTTTCCATTGCTCAGCTCAGGCTTTTTCTCCTTTGCCCTGAGGAAGGTAAGGACTTTGCCTGCGGTTACATGGAGGGTAGTGACAGAGTGGGTTTTAGCCAGGGATATGGCTCAGCGTCATGAGTGCTTGACTAGCAAGTGCAAGGCCCTGAGTTTAATTCCTGTACCACAAAAAAGGAAGGAAGGAAGGAAGGAAGGAAGGAAGGAAGGAAGGAAGGAAGGAAGGAAGGAAGGAAGGAAGAATTCAGGTTGCTTTTCTATACCCTCACCCACCCTTTGCCCCCCACCCCCACCTCCTCTTGAATGGGGCAGAAACCAAAAGAGATATTGAGGCAGGGGCTGTCAGGAGAGGCACTGAGGGAGTCTTGGGGCCCAGGGAGAATCATCCAGGCTGGGGCGGGGCTCCAGGGTGGCCTCGATGGCCTCCCCCTGCGTCTCCTCCTCTCCCTCCAGGACTGTGATGTCTCTTCCTGGCCCCCTCCACAGTGCTTTCCTCCCAGCTGCCAGGCCGCTGAGTAAACACAGGCCCAGCAGGCTGAGATGGCGTTTGTGCCAGCCGAGTCTCGGGCCTGACTCACTTCCTGACCTTGTTCGAGAGGTGTCCCGCTGGCCTGGGAGGATGGCACCCACACAGGCAGAGGCAGCCTCTGCTATTTGTCACCCTCTGGGCTTACTTCTGTCACCCCATGGAGATTCCAAGCCCTGGCCCATGTCAAGCGCAGGCCCAGCCCCTGTCCCTGCTGGAACATCTGCCTGGAAAGACTCCTGAGGCTCCAGGACACCTCTGACACCCACAGCAGTGTCAGGATCACTGGGACCCATGTTGCTGCTTCCTTCTGTCCCACAGAGTCTCTGGGCCAGCGCGGAAGAGGGCAGGGTCCAGTGTGTCCGAGCCGCCGCCCAGGTCTGGCCAGTAGCCATGTCTTCCTGATGGGGCAGGGGACGATCACCACGAGCACGAGTCTCCTCTCGGGGCGCTGCCCAGCTTGGCCCTACAGGGTGGGCTCCAAACCAGGGGTAGTGGCTCTGCCCAGCACTGCCCCCTCACCAGGTGCATGAAGCCCTCTGGACCTTGGCCTCCTGTCTGTCACGTGATGGCCGCTGTGCTGACTCAGAGGCCTCTGCCTCAATTGAGCTCTGTCTGTAGAACACTAGAAAGCGACAGCCACATGGCGACACAAGGGGTCATTAAATAAGATGTTCCCACAGCCCATGGGCTCACTGCTCCATTCACTCTCCAGATGTTACCGACAGCCTGTGGCCTGCCAGGCGGGCACGAGGGCAACAGACACCAGCAATACCTGCTGGACACTTCTGTGGGATCTTGTGTCCCCCTGAATAGTGTCTCTGGTTCCGCCTGATGACGCAGGGCTGTGTGGCGGGGCTATGGCGTGGGGCAGGGATGCAGGCTTCCCATTGCAGACTCCCAGCTTGCTGTAGGCCACTGGCAAACTTGTTAAAATGCCCTCTCAGCTAGGCACGGTGGGGCACGCCTGCAGTCCCAGCTCTTTGGGAGGCTGAGGCAGAAGGATGGCAAGTTCAAGCGCAGCTTAGGTAACTTGGCAACTCAGACTGTGTCACACGCACACACACACACACGAGTAGGAATGTAGCTCCATGCTAAGACCCTGGGTTCAAGTCACAGTATGGCAAAATAAATAAATCAACACAATTTTAGGTCTTTCTATGTCAGTTGCAACGTACAATAAGGGCTATAGCGGTAGCAGTGGCACACGTGGTTTGTTTTTTTTTTTAATTAATTTATTTATTTTTTCACACGTGGTTTTAATCCCCAGAACCAAACCCCATGAAACCCAGCAGACACTCATCCGCCTCTGGCAAATGAAGCACACGCCTTCCACAGCCCATGCCCAGGCGGGAGCCTGGGGCTGTGGCCATTTCATGCCCTCACCTTGCCCTGGGACCCTTTGTGATGTAATTTATTTTATTACTATTTAAGAGCAGAATATATTTATTGGAGTAAAGAAAGCTTCTGTCTGAGAGGGACAGCAGGGGACCCGAGGGAGTTGCCTGTGATTTAATTTAAAAGCAGAATTCGCCAGCAAGATAGCTCAGCAGTCTAAAGCGCCTGCTTAGGCGAGCTTAGGCAGGCGCAGGGCACCGTGGTTGGATCCCCCATAGCACACGCTGTGCCACCCCCACCCTCAGGGCAGGCCGAGCCAGCAAAACAAACAAACAGACAAACAAACAAATGCAGAATTTCCTTTTGGCTTGACAAGTCACTAGGCACAGGTGGCAGATGGCCCTTGTTACCTCCTCACATGGCATCAGAAAACCAGCAAAAAGCATTAAAACCAGAAATTTGTACCTGTACAGATACTGGGTTTTCGAAAATACTATTAATTTTATTTTTTTAAAAACATTGATTTATTTGTGTGTGTGTGTGTGTGTGTGTGTGTGTGTGTGTGTGTGTGTGTGGCCAGCTCAGCCCACCAGGGGGCGGGTCTGGCTGGCATGTGGTGCTGGGGGATTGAACCGCGGTCCCTGTGCTTTGCCAAGCTTGTTCCAAGTAGGTGCTTTAGACCACTGAGCCATCTCGCCAGCCCCAATACTATTAATTTTAGGCGTAAGAATGATACTGCTAGAGCCGGGGTTATAGCTCGAAAAAGAAATATAGAAAAGAATGAACAGATTTGGCGCCTAAGTTTGGCTTCAAAATAATTGAGGAAGGAGAATGTGGGTGATGAAATAAAGTGTACTGCTGAGGCCGAGGACTGAGGTCAGGGAAGCGCCTAGGATCCCCATTAGTTAAGGGGTTCGGATTCCCCACACAGTCTTTAAATACTGTCTACTGAGCTGGAGGGAACCGGAAGCGTCCGGGTTGCACCTGCGCACCTGCCACAGGTGGCTCTACGCCTCCTGGCGCTGGGCGGAAGCGCGAAGGAGGCGTGGCCTATCAGTGGGCGGGGCAGGGTGTGGGCGGGGCCTGGAAGGGGGTGGGGCTAGCTCGGTTCCCTGGCGCCGTGGTGCTGGGCACCTGCGCGCAGGTACCGCAGCCTCTGCGCTGGGCTGCTGAACTCGGGTGCCCGGGATGAGCCTCATTCGGAAAAAGGGCTTCTACAAGCAGGATGTCAACAAGACGGCGTGGGAGCTACCAAAGACCTACGCGTCCCCGACGCACGTCGGCAGCGGGGCCTATGGCGCCGTGTGGTGAGCCGGGCGCGGACGTCGGGGGCTCTCGCGGACGCCCCACCTCCTGCGCCTCGACGGCGCCTTCCCCTATCCCCAGCGGTCGCTGGCCTGACAGCCCCGCGCGAGGACCACACGGCTTGCGCTCCCGAGCTCTTCCCAGCGGGCCGAGGGGCGGGCGGAGGCGCGGCTGCACCGGGAAGTGGGTGGAGAGGAGCAGCGGGGCGCGCTGTTGTCTCAGCAGTCGCTACTGGGAAGCGGGTCGGGGTCGGTTTGGGACTGGATCTCCAGGCCGTAGCCTTAGGAAGAGCCCCGGACAGATCACCCTGGTTGCAGATGAAGGCACTGAGGCCCCCAGAGCAGGAAGGAGCTCGCCCTGTTGCAGAGTGAGATCGGCCCTGCATGGACGCCTGGGTATCATAGTGCTGCCCCAGGACAGTGCCAGCCCCTCTGCACTGCCTCTTGCCTGGCTCCTACACTCTGGGTCTCACAGGCATGGTGGGCACAGGCTCCACCCAGCCTGGCCTGCTGGCCAAGTCGGGGTGCAGAGGCGAGGGCAACCTGGGAGCTACCGGGTAGAAACTGCAGTGGTACCTGCCTGTCCACCTGCAGCTCTGCCATCGACAAGCGGTCAGGGGAGAAGGTGGCCATCAAGAAGCTGAGCCGGCCCTTCCAGTCTGAGATCTTCGCCAAGCGGGCCTACCGCGAGCTGTGGCTGCTCAAGCACATGCAGCATGAGAACGTAGGCTGGGCCTCCTGGCTGCGGGGAGGGGCCCTGGGTGGCTGCCCTGGTGTTCTCGGGAGGCAGAGAAGGAGGAGGGAAAGGAGGCCCAGGCCGGGGCTCTGGGGTGCCAGGAGCTCTTGGCAGAACCAGGAAAAGGGAGAACTTCCTGCCCCCCCCCCTTACTTCATTAGTAAAATGAGGGGTGCTGGGACCTGCCCTGCACACTTCCAGGGAAGGTACAGACCGCATTTCTGGCAGCTTGAGTTGTGGGAGGTACAGACTGCCAGGCTGCTATGAGGAAACAGGCAGAGAGGACCTTTGGGATTTGTTCTGTGTCTCAGAGCGCCTGGGGCAAGCTGAGGCCGGAGTCTGGACAGTGTCATCTCCACGTGTGAGTGACCTTCATGACAGCAGCTCCTTCGTACACACTCATTCTGTGACAGGCACTGTCATCAGCGCCCTGTGTCACCTAACTTGTGGAATCCTGCATCACGAGATAAATACCAGCAGCCGCATGTCACAGCTGGGGAAACTGAGACACCGATGGCTGTTAGGTTATGCAGTCAGTCAGTCAGGGGCAGAGCTGGGCTTTAAATCTAGGCAGCCTGGCTCCAAGCCTGAGTGTATCACCAGGCACATGTCACCCCGTGACCCAGCTCGGGCTGAGGATTCAGGAGCCCAGGATTGGAGAGCGAATGTTTCAGATAATAATTTCAAAGCATTGTGCGCATTTTGAGCCCCATCCTATTTCAGCATACCCCTCTAGACAAGGACACGTGGCTGAGAGGCCCTTCACCCCTCTTCATTCTCCTCTTTTCTTGGTACTTGGAGTTGAACCCAGGGCCTTACAAGTGTCAGGCAAGATCTGTACCACTGAGCTACACCTGTGAGCTCCTCCTGTCTCAGACTCCCAAGGAGCTGGGATTTTGGTGTATATGACAGCACCACACTCTTTTTCCCTGCTGTGACTTCTGAGCTGAGAAATGGGTTTGTGCTGCTTGCCCTGAGCACCAGACTTGGGCACCCCCCCACCCCAGCTGGACTCCAGTGCTGTCATCCATCACAGCAGGACCCCTCCTCTTCCATGTTGTCCCCCTTACTGCTCCTGAACAGCTGGGGCTGCTTCCTTCTAGAGGTTGTGGGCTGGAAGTGTGGCTGGTCCCAGGCAGGTGGCTGGGGCCTGGTGGGAGGAAAGGGCAGTAGCTGCCCAGCCCTTAGGAGTGGCTTTGTCCCCAGGTCATCGGACTACTGGATGTCTTCACCTCAGCATCCTCCCTGCGCCACTTTCAGGACTTGTGAGTCAGTGTACTGTCTTCTCCGTGTTTGTAGCTCTTGTTGCTTGGGAAGGGGACAGAGGGTCTGTCTTCTGCCCCTGCAGCCCCTGTGTCTGGGGCCATGGAATTGACACTGCAGAGTAGCTGCAGAGAAGGGCAGGTGGGAAGAGGTGTCAGGGACCTTTACCAGCTCTATCATGGCAGAGCAGAGTACCTGCAAGTCCTCGGGGTTTGCACCCACTCCTGTGTCCCGTCTATGGCCCAGGTGTGGCTTTGGAGTTTGGGGCTCTTTCTGCATGAATCAAAGATTGGTAGTCTGGCTGCCCCAGCTGGTGGGATGTTTGGCAGAGTCCCACAGGACCACAGCATGGAGTGGCTATGCCTGGCTTTGCCAGTACAGTGCCCATGTGCCTGGGACTGCTTGTTCCACACTGAGAAATTAAGATTCTAGTGGAGACTGACACTGGTTTCTGAAGTTCCACAGCTACCTTGAGGCCAGGAAGGTTTTGAGGGGGCTGTGATGAGGTCAGGAGATGATGCCCAGGTTCTCCTTGGTATGCAGGGGGAAAGGAATAACCAAACTGGGGAAAGATAATGAGCTCTATGTTGGGCACTTTGCTTTGGCAGAATGTATGAGATCCCCAGTCACAAATATACCTGGATCTCAGGAAGGAAGGTGGGGTTGCCATGTGGATTGATGCTAAGCGAAGCCTGGGAATAGGCCACTGCAAGAGCTTGTCAGAGGGAGTCAGTGGAGAATATGAGGGAGTGTGGATGTGGGGAGAGTCAGACAGGGAGACCTGGGGTGCACATGGAGAGACCACTGGCCTCCCTGAGCTAAGCTGGGTGGTGCAAGGAAGGAAGGAAGCAGAAACCAGCTCTTCATAGCCACGTGTGATGGTGCACACCTGTCATCCCAGCCCTTGGCAGGCTGAGGCAGGAGAATTGCCATGAGTTCGAGGCCAGCATGGGCAACTTAACAAGATCTTGTTTCAAAATAACATTTTTAAAAAATGAGCAAAGGGAAGGTGACTCATATAGTTTGACTTCCAGGTTCAGGGGCCAGGCTCAGGGAGCTGCCCTCCCCATGGTCTTTTCCCAGAAGCTCTCCTTTTATGATCCCTTATGCTTTGTTCTTGGACTTTGCTGTTCCCATCTGGAGTAACAGTTCCTGTTACTGCCCTTGAGCTGTTTTGCAGTTCTGTAAAAGGTGCAACAGTCCAGCTCCCATCCTCTCTCTGTTCCCAAGAGCAGGTTTATTGTTTCTTTCTTGGAAGGGCAGGTGTTCTGCTCATTGGAGGAGCCAGTGCAGCTGGCCATGAGCCTCCAGGAGACAACAGTGGACTGCGGGGAAGTGTGGGCTGCTTGGGGCTCGTGGCCAGGTTGGCTGTGGGGAGCTGAGGGCAGCAGGGAGCAGGCAGCTCTGCGGAGAGGGGCGCCATTCTTGGCTTTCCTGTGCATTCGCCCTAGTGCCAGCACTTACCCTAGCTCTGCCCACTGTCAGCCTGGCACCCAGGGAGCCCACAGCCCTGAGAGCTACGAGGACCTGGGCTTTCCTCCACCTTCTTGTCCAAGGCCTCTCCAAGGCCCCAGTTCTGCACCACCCAGCTCGGACCTGGGACTGGGTGAGGCTGGGGTCCATGCCAAGAAGGCCTCATGCTTTCCAGCTACCTGGTGATGCCCTTCATGCAGACGGACCTGCAGAAGATCATGGGCATGGAGTTCAGTGAGGACAAGATCCAGTACCTGGTATACCAGATGTTCAAGGGTCTCAAGGTGTGCTGGGCTCAGAGGGGGCACCAGAGATCTGGGGGCGGGGGGCAAGGGGCACACAGGGACAGGAGCGAGGAGGCTGTACCTGTGCTGCCAACATGGAAACCAGGATGCTGGATTCACCTCCCTCCCTCTCCTCCCCCAGTACATCCACTCTGCCGGCATCATCCACAGGGTGAGTCTGTCTTGTTCCGGTCCTCAGGGGCCCCGACCGCCAGGGCAGCGGGGCTTCTCTGGCAGCCAGGGAGTTGGAAAAGGTGGCAGGAAGGGAGAGCTCTCAGGAATGCACATTTAGAATTTTTCAGACTCAGCCTTGGCCAGGAAGTTCTGTGTGGGAGAAGTGCTGTGTCCCGGGAGAGTGGGGAGGAGCTGCTGGAGACGAGTGAGCCCGGAGCTCCCATCTCAGGCTCCAGGAATCCCAACACTGTTGGATGTGTGAAGGGTGCGATGGCCCCAGGTGATGCCTAGCCGGGCCTTCCTTCACCCTGGAGCCGAGGCCTTGTCCATGGTAGACAAGTGCTCTACCCCTGAGCCACATCCTCAAACCTTCTAAAATTTTACTTGAGACAGGGTCTTGCTAAACTGCCCAAGCAGCTGGCCCTGAACTTGTGATCCTTCTGCCTCAGGCTCCCAAGTAGCTGGGATGACAGGCAGGCACTGCCACACTCGGCTCCAGTCCTTATTTTATATGAAGAAACTGAGGCCTAGAGAGGTCTGGAGGGGCCTGGGATCTCCCATCTCTGCCTCTCAGCCAAGTGTCTCTCTCTGTCCTCTCCCCCAGGACCTGAAGCCCGGGAACCTGGCCGTGAACGAGGACTGCGAGCTGAAGGTGAGTGAGCGTGGACAGGCCCTGCCGGGTGGGGTGGGATTGGTGGTGGGGGTCCACTGAGAGCCCCTCAGAGCTGCTGCGGAGCCTCCTGTCCTCAGCGAGCACCATCTCCCTGCGTCCCTTGAGCCATAGATCCTGGATTTTGGGCTGGCACGGCACGCGGATCCCGAGATGACAGGCTACGTGGTGACACGCTGGTACCGGGCCCCTGAGGTCATCCTCAGCTGGATGCACTACAATCAGACGGGTGAGGGCTGCGCAGGGAGGGCCGGCTATGAGCGCCGAGGGGCGGGACATTGCTCAGTTGCTGGGCGGCCAGTAATGCCCCTGCTACCCCGCAGTGGACGTCTGGTCTGTTGGCTGCATCATGGCCGAGATGCTGACAGGAAAAACTCTGTTCAAGGGGAAAGACTGTATCCTTTGCCGGAAACACCAGGCTCCAACTGGGGACCCTTCCCTTCCGCATGCTTTATTTAAATACTTTCCCTTCATACAGTGATACAAACTCCTTGTAGAATAATAATAATAATAATAATAATAATAATAATATTATTATTATTATTATTATTATTATTATTATTATTTTGAACTGGGGACTGAACTCAGGCCCTTGCGCTTGCCAGGGAAGCGCTTATTCCATTGAGCCATCTCCCCGGCCGTCTTCTAGAATAATTTTAAGGGGCTGGGGAGATGGCTCAGTAGAATAAACACTTCCCTGGCAAGTGCAAGGACCTGACTTCTATCCTCAGTTCTTAAAAAATAAATAAATAAATTTAAAATGCAGGTAAACGTTGCATGATTAAATGAGCCCCAGGTCCAGGGAGGTAACTCAGCCACAGAGGACTTGCCTACCGCATATCAGGCCCTGGGTTTGATCCTCACTACCAGACAATAAAAAATGAAAGGTCTCCTGTGAGCTGGATGTGGTGGCACACACCTGTAGTTCCAGCACTGGGAAGGCTGAAGTAGGAGTATCTGAAGTTTGAGCCCAGCCTGGGCAACTTGGCAAGGCCCTGTGTCTAAAAAGAGGCCTAGGGATGCAGCTCACTGTGAAGACCTTGGTTTCAATCTCCAGTACCAGGAAGAAAAAAAGAAAAATTATAAAATGAGTGCCTAATATGTCCCCTGACTTCGGCCCCTCGGACACCGAGGAGCGAGCGTGTGTGGGTTGTGCAGGTGCTCGGCCGGAGGCACGGGGTCTGCCCTGCTCTCAGTGCGAGGGTCAGGGATCAGGAGAGAAGACAGGAGCATTCAGGATGGCTGTATGGGAGGGCTGGGAAGTCAGCAACCCCAGTGACACAAATCGGGATGTCGCCCTTCCTTCCCGGCCCGGCCTGATGCCCTCTGGAGGACACTGGGTCTGCAGCCTAAGCCTTTACTCCTGAGAGCCGGAGGTGGGAAGTGGTCTGGGAGTTGGGCAGGGACTACAGTGGTCCGGGAATGATCTTGGGGCTGCAGGAAGGGGACAGTGAGGCTGCACCTTAACCAGCTGCTGAGACCTGGACCAGCTGACCCAGATCCTCAAAGTGACCGGAGTCCCGGGTGCTGAGTTCGTGCAGAAGCTGAAGGACAAAGCGGTGGGTGGCTATGGGCCCCACCTGGCCTGGGTTGTGGCCTTGGCTGACTGGGCTGTGGGTTCTTGGGGTTCACCACCACCCCTGAAGCCTTCATCCTGCTGTGGCCCAAGACCTCAGCTGTCAGCCTCCCTCCCACCCACAAACCCAGCCCTCTGTTCTGAGCCCTGAAGGCCCTGTGCTTCTCCCTCCTCCAGGCCAAAGCCTACATCCAGTCTCTGCCCCAGAGCCCCAAGAAGGACTTCACGCAGCTCTTCCCCCGTGCCAGCCCCCAGGGTGAGTCTGGCTGCTTCCTGGGCTTGCGGGGGAGGGTCCCTGGGCCCGGGCTGAGGGGCTCACAGCTGAGTCACTGCAGCCACAGACCTGCTGGAGAAGATCCTGGAGCTGGATGTGGACAAGCGCCTGACCGCCGCACAGGCCCTGGCTCACCCCTTCTTCGAGCCCTTCCGGGACCCAGAGGAGGAGACAGAAGCAGAGCAGCCCTTCAATGACTCCCTGGAACATGAGAAGCTCACTGTGGACGAGTGGAAGCGTAAGAGCTGGGCCTCTGCCTGCAGCCTCTCTCCTTTTCTTCCTTCCTTCTTTTCTGCCGATGGCCTTGCCCTGCCTCGCCTGGCTGCTGGGAGACTCCGGTCTCTTACCTCTGAGCTGGTGCTCTCTGCTGGGTTCCTCTCCTGGGAAGGTTTCCTGCTACTGCGAGGGTGTAGCCACGCTGCTGGGCCAGGCCCTGCCCCTCCTTGAAGCACCTGCCTTCTGCAGAGCTCATCTACAAGGAGATTGTGAACTTCAGCCCCATCGCCCGCAAGGACTCGAAGCGCCAGAGTGGCATGAAGCTGCAGTGATGGCCAGCCCGACCCTCGGCTGAGCCAGGGACTGCCACTCAGCCCCACCCGCAGACACTGCCCAAACCATATTTGTCAACAATAAATCCTCAGCTCTTCTGGGAAAAGAGCACCCCAAGCAGAGGACAAAGCACCTGCCCTGGGCTGGGCAGCTGTGGAATTGGAAGATGCTGGGGGCGGGGAGTTGTTAGCGAGGGACAGGCTGAGCAGGCCAGGGCTCTTTGACAACGGATCCGTGTCCTAGGGCTGCTGTGACACTCTGCTGGTGGCTTATAGCAGACACCTATGCTCTCATGGTTCTGAAGTCTTGAGGCGTTGGCCACCACCCCTCCGAAGGGCCTAGAGGAGAGCCCTCTCTTGCCTCCTTCTGCCTCCTGCTGGTTCTGGGCTCCCCAGCCTCTGCTGTGTTCATCTCTGTTCCTGTCTGTCTTTCTGTCCTCTTATAACAACAGTAGTCACTGGATTTACCCTAATCCAGAGGGATCTCTACCTGGTCCCTACCAATCACATCCGACAAGACTTTATTTCCAAATAAAGTCATGTTCCAAGGTGCAGGGGGACAGGAATGTTGGGGAAACACTGGCCAACTGGCTACAGGTGGCCGTGAGGAGCACCCCTTTGTGCCACAGTGGACCCCATGTATCTGGCTGCTTCAAGAGGGCGGAGCAGAGAGAGCTGCGGCTGCTGAGACCCTTTGGGTGCAGGCTGAGCAGGCAGGAGAGGAACCCGCAGCAGGCTTGTGGGCCTGGAGCCCCAGAAGGCAGGAGTGGACCACTCGGCTTCGTGGCAGAGCTCTGTTCCTTTTGCTTTCTGGGGACAGCTGGACTCCAAAGCATAACCCGGAAGAGGCCAGGACCTTTGACTTCAGTGGATGCCCACTGGCACAAGCACCAGGGAGCCTGGGCACGGCGGGTCTCCACCTTCGCCATGCACCTGGGGACCTTGTTAAAGTGCTGATTCCAGTCCCATCCCAGCAGGGATTCTGAGTGGGCATCTCTCGTGTTGCGACCTTACAGTGTGTTTGAAAGGACTCGACCTTGACCCAAGCCCCAGGGACTGACCTCGAGGGGGCATCGGTCTGGTTTCAGAGCCGCTTCCTGTATCAGGAGAATGCACTTCCTCCTGCGTCCAGCACCAGCCAGATGTGCACCCTGTTCACAGATGTTAAAACTGAGACTCAGACCGAGCATTTTTAGGGCAGTGAAACTCTGCAGTGGTACGCCGTCATGGTGGTGGCAAGACACCTGCATTTTGTTCAGATCCCAAGAGCTGTGTGGCACGCATTGTGAACCCCAGGTGACCCGCGGGCCTGAATTAGTTACAGTGTCCCAGCATTAGGTCACACCAAGGCAGCAGGGTTATAACGGAAATGGGAGGTGGGGGTATGGGAACCCTCTGTGCTCTCTGCAAACCTAACCACTCTGAAAATAAAGTACTGGAAAACAAAACAGACCCTGAGCCCCAGAGATGGGTCCTGGCATCCCTCCCCTCTTCCCACACCCCATGCAAGGCCTGGGGCTACCTCTCCCTGGAAGGCCTTCTGCCCTTCTCCACTTAGACCCTATAGGACTCTGCCCAGGGGTCCCCCAGTGAACTGGGCAGCCCCATCTCCAGGCTCTCTCTGAGCAGGATTTGGAGTGCTTGAGCCACCTGCCACCTACCCTGTGAGCTGGGACATACAAAGCCCTGCCAGTCACTTCTCTGTTCCTCCTCACTGTGGGAAGCAGAAATGGGTGGCCCTGGCCAGTCCCTGAGAGAAAACCTCTCCCCTCCGCGCCAGGCCTCTCTCCCTCACCCCTCCCTCCGCTCCGCTGAGGGAAGCCCTCCGCTTCCCTTGGGCTTGATTCAGATCTAGGTGTTCTCTCCAAGGGGAAGGGAAGGTGCCCTCCAGTAGGAAGGGCATTCCAGTTTTTGGCCTCCCCAGCGGGCACTGGGCCACACCACAGGAAGGGAGGTCACTTCCTGCTGGTGTGGGGGACCCCGCTGGGGCAGGTCTTCTGAGGTGGAGTCTGGCTTTGCCCTGTGGCTGACACTGGCCCTATTGTCTAATGAGGCAGAGCCGGAATCTGTTCCTGAGCTGGACTGTGTCCCACCTTCCCTTCTTTGTGAACAAGGGTTGTCCTCCCTCAAGGCCACCAGAGCCTGGGCCCTGGAGAAAGCAGTGTGAGCGGGTTGTTCCAAGGTGGAGCTCACTGGTGTGAACTGGGGTGGCCTTTCCCCAGGCAGGCAGCATGCAGGGAGACAGGTGAGGCACTGTCCCCTCCCTGCCAGGCACAGGCAGAGGCCAGCTCTGAAGGGGAAGTGGCCCAGTGACCCCAGCCTGCTGTCCACCAGGAGCAGGGTGCTTCTCAGGCCCCAGCAGCACTGTGACCACTGTGGTCTCCTGCCCCCCTCTGGCCTCTGGCCTCACGGGGGTGGGGGGTAGTAGTTCTGTGGGCACTCCCCCCTCCTGTAGGAGCCAGAGCAGTCCTCCTTCCTGAGTCCAGCTGACCTGAGGGAAAAAGCTGAGGCACAGTGCTGGGCTATATCCCAGCCCTCTAATCGTGCTTTTAAAAAAGTTTTTTGGGGGCTGGTGAGATGGCTCAGTGGTCTAAAGCACCTACTTAGAACAAGCTTAGCAGAGCACAGGGACCGTGGTTCAATCCCCCAGCACCACATGCCAGCCAGCCCCACCCCCTAGTGGGCTGAGCTGGCCACACACACACACACACACACTAAATGAATAAATTTAAAAAATAAAAAATAAAAAAAAGTTTTTTGGGGCCAAGGAGATAGCTCAGTAGAATAAATGCTTGCTTGGCAAGCACAAGAGCCTGAGTTCAATCCTTGGTTCTGCCAAAATAAATAAATAAATAAAAATTTTAAAACGAATAAAATAAAGGGTTTTTTTTTTAAACGAATAAAATAAAGGTTTTTTGGAGACAGGTGTCACTAAGTTACCCAGGTTAGGCTCAGCCTTGAAATCCTTCTGCCTCAGCCTCCAGAGTGCTGGGATTATTGTCGTGTGCCACTATACTGGATTCTGACTTCTCACCGTTGGGTGCAGAGGCCCAACACAATTCACTGGAGGGAAGCAAAGGCCCAGGGAGTTGTCATGGTTACAACCCGTCAGGCCACCAGGAGGGTCCTGGTGCAGGGGTGGTTCTAGCTGGACAGTTGTGTCCTTCTGGTTCTTTTGGCCGAACCACACTTGGGTGTCAGTGGAACCCCTCTCTGCTGGGATTCGACCTTTCTTTCTGCCATGAGCCTCTTCTTAAAATATAAAATAACATAGAATAGAATAGTAGAATAAGTAAAATAAAATAGTATAGTGGTGTGCACCCTTATTTCCAGCTTTCTAGGAAGCTAAAGTAGGAGGCTCACAAGTTTGAGCCCAGTCTGGGCAATTTAGTGAGACCCTGTCTCAAAAGAAAACAAAAGGCTGAAGATATAGCTCACTGCAAAGGCCCTGGGTTCGATCCTCAGAACCACAAAAATGACACATAATATACGGTTACAGAAAAAGTTAGTTATCTCTCTAGTGAGTTGTCAATGTATTAAAAAATGTGATCATGCATGGAGGGTGTGTGTGTGTGTGTGTGTGTGTGTGTGTCTGGGCCTGGGGTGGAGCCTGGGCCTCACGTATGCCGGCTTCATGCTGCACTCAGCCGAGCTTCTGCATTGACACCCATAGTATGAGCTGTATTCAGGCAAGCCTGTGAGATCTCGGTGGATCTGAAGTAGACGTGAATGCTGAGCTGTAAAGGGCTCAAGTCAACAACTTCTGACCTTGCCAGTCTTTCGGATAACCCACTACTATTACGGACTACTGGACTATATTGGATTATTTTGCTGAATTCACACACCTACAATATTTAAATGGCAATGAAATACCCATCTCTGACAAAACTAAACGAAAAAGGGGGATACAAATGAAGGACCATTTTGTATCTGTATATACAAAATAGGATTGATATACAGCTACCTTCTCTTAATTCAATGAGAAGGAAGATTTGTACTAGTAGTGTTTGGACAGGGTATCATGTCTGCATCTTTTTTTTTTTTTTTGTACTTAGTTTCCATTTATTCAAAGAATAAATAAAATTTTAAAAATTGCTTTACTAACTATAGTTTTACAAATTATGGTAGACTGGGGCTATGGGTTTAGCTCAGGCTGTAGAATGCTTGTATGAGGCCCTGGGATCAACCCCCAGGACCACTAAGAAAAAAAAAAAGAAATTACAGTAGTCTTATTTTCAAAGTCCAACTTCACAGTGAAGATAAGAAATTTCTAAAGTTTGCCTTTGAATCCTTTTGGGATTCACTCTGACTAAGCAACATTTTCAGCTGTGAGAAGTGTTTCCTTCTTTTCTTCCCATTCTTTGAGGAGCAATTGGCGTTGACTGGCCAGCTGTGGGTGTTCTGAAAATCAATGCTGGGCTCTTGCCTTTAGAGCCAGATATACGATTTACATTTACGGAATTTGAAGTCTTCCTTTCTGGTACCTTCAGGCTGAGTTTACTTGTAGGAGTGACAGGAATGTTCTTCAATGCTGACAGAAAGCTTCTACTTTTACCAGGATATTTAATTGTTCTGTGGTAAGTTTTCCAAGTAATCAACAATACATTTTTGGAGTCTCTGTACTTCTTCACAATTTTTGCTTCTTTAAAACTGAGAGTATGATTTCTAGCTTCACGATTAAGAAGTTTCTGAGGGCCCGGGAGACGGCTCAGTAGGATAAGCGCTTGACTGGCAAACACAAGGATCTAAGTTCAATCCCTGGTTCCACCAAAAAAAAAAAAAAAAAAAGAAGTTTCTGTACTCTGGGTGTCAATTTGGCCTTGGGTTTGAGGCAAACTCGAGAGTTACCTAGTACCAACAACCGGAAACAATATGGACATACTTCTTCAAAAGTGCTCTTGTTTGCTTTCTGCTGGTGGACACCGTGGAGGAGGCATTGTCAGGCTCTCTTCCGACTGCCGTCATGTCTAAGTCAGAGTCTCCCA